CTCTGCTCCTGCCCTCCCCCCTGCATTGCATGTTCTCTCTAAAATAAATAAATAAATCAACATGATCACTTAATATGGTGAAGAATTATGAATTAGTAAATATGTGTTAATTTATTCTTTGAGATTTTTTTTTTTAATTTCTACCAAATATTAACTTGTTTTTAAGTTAATACAGAGATTGCCTTAAGACCTAGACACCCTTTGCAATTGATGCTTTATTTTCAAGTTCTACTGATTAACTTCCTGGTGACTTGTCTATATCTTAGTTTTCATGAGAAATTTAGCTGCGGAATGAATTCTTTACATTTTCATTGCCTTCTTGAACTCTTTTCAGTAGTCAGCTAGGCTACTAGTAATTTTTATATTTGAAATGATGCCAGTGACAGCTTGAACCTGAGTTGAAAGTTGTTTGGACTTCCGCCCCCGTGATCCTTGCGTGCTTACCCCAGGATGCGGAGTTGTACTTCATTGTACTGCTAATATTCTCACCCAGGCCTTGAGTCAGTAGCCCCTTGGCTAAAATGTCTGACCAGCCTTGGGGCTGCCATGACTGACTGTGGGAACCAGACCTGAAGGCCACCTGGCCCACAGGTGCTGTAGGCTCATGGTAACCCTGCTGAGACAGGTTAGGTTTGGAAAGACCCAACTGACTTATTTTTTAATTTTTAACATTTTCCCCAGCTTTTTATTTTGAAATTTTTCAGATTTCCAGAAAACTTGAATATTCAATGAATACAAACACACACGCACATATATACCTTTCATATAGATTTGCCAGTTGTTAAATATTTTGCCACATTTCCTTTCTCTGTATATATAAAACTTATTTTGAGTGAGCGTTGAAAATGCAGTATCATAACACATAACCCCTATATGTATCAGCATTTACCCCTAAGTACATACATCCTTTATACCATTTTTCCATGATACCACTATTATATCTAATACAATTACAATAATTCTACAATGTCATATATTCTATAGTCTATATTTAAATTTCCTCAGTTTTCCCTAAAATGTCTTTATAACTAGCTAGTTTTGTAGAATCCAGACCACTTGTCTTATACAGTTGTCCACATTATGGCTTTCTACTTGCTTTCTTGTGATTAGATTTAGAATGTATAAAGGGTAATACTTATGTGATATTGTATACTTCCTGTTCCCTCACACCAGGAGGTACATAATGAGTTTGTCCCACTATTGATTGTACATCTGACCCCTTGGTGACCAGTAGACCTCTTTATTGTAAAAGTAATTTTTTCCCCTTGTAACTAAGTTATCTGTAGGGTGATTATTTGGGGTTCTATATTCTATTCCCTAGTAACCTTTCAGCCAATGACTTTGTCATCCACTGGTGCTCCTTGGCTGAAATTGGATTACTTTAGAACTTATAAAACAGTGATTTTCTACTTCTGCCATACCGTCTACTTTTATTAACTGGTATTGTTTCATAAAAAGGCCTTCCTTTTCTCCTTGCCCCATCCTTCAGAACCCTGGAGAGAGAGAGAGTGAGTGTGTAGAGGCGTACTCTTCGACATGTATGTATTGAGTGTGTTACCAGGCATTATCATTGTTCTTTGATGTTCACATTGTCCCAAATGTGGCCAGTGGGAGCTGCTTGAAGCTGGCTTCTGTGTCCTTTTGAGCACTTCCTTGTTTCCTGACACAGGAAGGTATCTTAGGCTTATTTTGCACTTTTCCTGCTTTAGGCCTAGAATTAATCATTTCTCTAAGATACTCTGTTCCTTATACTAGGAAATTGTATTTAGAAACCAAGATTGGATACTAGGGGCCACTCATTGCTTTTAGAGTTTCATTGCATCTGTGCTCTTTCAGGGGACAGAACTAAAAAGTACTATCTTTTAAATATTATAGGAATAATCCAGGAAATAATATTTTTTAAAGATCACAAATATGTATTGATTTGTCTAATTCAAACTTAACATTACATTTCTTCTTTTATGTTTGTATCTCTTCTCCTACAGTAACATTTTGGTCACCATACAATTAATACATTTATTTACTTTATGCTATAATATACAGAGAATGTTTCAGAATTTTATTATTAATATTACTAACAATAAGCCTTCCGAGTAAAGTTGAAGATTTCTTTGCTATTCTTTTTTGTCATTAGAAATTAGGTTTATTTGTTTTTGTTTGCGATTTATTTGTTTTTGTTCGTATTAATCTTTAGAGTTTGTTTTTGAAAATTTTAGTCTTTAATATATAAAGCATATTCAGGCTTCGACGTTCAGCTGAATAAAGGCATACCTAGGGAAGCCTTACTCATCCCCTGGCCCTCACCCTGCTGCCGCCCACCCCTTAATAAATGATGATTTTTATTAGTTTCCACTGTACCCTTCCTTGTGGAAAGAAACCTATGTATATTTTCCCCTATTCCTATATGTATTTTCTTATTTCTTTTTCTTACACCAAAGGTCACACTCTGAGTACATTTACTTTGCGTCTTGCTTTTATCAATCTTTTTTTATGGCTAGAGTGCTTGATGGCATGGATGTGCCCTCATTTATGCAGCCAACCTTATGGGGGGGTGTTTCTAATATTTTGTTGTTATAAATCAGTGAATCACCTGTGATGATGTTGGTTTTGCCTGTGGGGGTATAGCTTATATAAAGGAATTCGCCCTGTTTTCTTCTTGTACTTGTTTGATTTGATTTTCTGTGTTTAGCTTTCTGACCCATCTGCAGTTCATTCTCATGTACAGTGTCTGGTTTGCATCCACTTTTATCTTTTTCCTAATGGCAGTCAGTTGTCTCAACATCACTTACTAAAAAGTCCACCTTTTCTCCCTCAGAGAAGGAAAGGCAGAGGAGTCCCTGGTTTTAAAAAATGTTCACAAAATTAGCACTCGGATGTGTGATCTAAGGGTTTCTTTAGTGTCCGTTTTATTGCCAAAAGGCCGAATGGGAGAATGAAGCTTGACCCAGAGATGGGCTCCCTAAGATAACTGAATTGATAAGCCCCAAGTTACAGGTCCCTAACTTTCAGGGGTGAAATCTGGTCTAGCGTATTTACTGTGTGGGTGGGCAGAGAGGTCCATCCTGAGAACAGCCTCTCTAAAAGAACAGCACTGGGTTTATGTGAGCTGCCAGTTCATTTAGAGTTCAGATACAGTGCTAATAAGATCCAAGGCCACAGACTTCTCTTCTGACACCATTCAAGAGAAATGAAAATGCATGTGGTTTGCTTTTAATTGTGAGGAGTGGTGTTCGAGAAGACGCTGTCATGGCTTACACAGTTGTCAAGTTGGTGGCAGTACTAGGAGGTGAGGGGCTTTTGGAAATGTGTGGGGGTGAGATTCGTCACAGGCGCTGGGGATTTTTTTTTTTTTTTAAGATTTTATTTATTTGACAGAGAGAGACACAGCGAGAGAGGGAACACAAGCAG